TCCACCCACGGGGCAGGCAGTTGCTCAAGCATTTCCAGCACCAGGGCAAACAGTTGCTCAAGCGTTACCACCAACAGGGCAGGCATGTTTTGTGCCTGCTGTTGCGACAAACTCGGCAGATTGCGCTTCAGTTGTGAAGGATAACCCAGTTGTAGCATCAGTGGCTTACGGAACTCCTATGAGTGCAACTAACATGCTCCCGGGCCAAGCAGCGATTCCATGTGGACTGCCCATAGCTTCAGGTATGCTTTCACCTCCAACAGGCGTGACAGGAGCAGCACCCACTTTGGGGCAACCCGTTGTAAATCAAGTGAGCTCACACCCGGCAGTGCGAGCACCAGGGGAAGCTACCCAGTCCATAGCGCAACTGCCGGGGAAGCGCAAGAGCTTGTTGGTAGGGATCAACTATTTCGGTACGGACGCAGAGTTGCATGGCTGCATTGCCGACGTGAAGAGGATTATCCCACTATTGGAGCAACAAGGTTTCCCGTCCAATGAAGAGCACCAATTAGTTTTGCTCGATGACCATCACTGGCCGACTTTGCGGCGTCCCACCCTGGCCAACATGCGACAGGCGATCCGCTGGCTAACGCATGATGCAAAGACAGGACAGTAGTACTCAGTGCTGACTGAATGCTGCTATGTTGCTACCGAATATTATGTTAAGACTGACTGTAAGACAACCATCCCGTTGCATTGTGTTGTTCCTTGGGGCATTTATACGTTATGTTGTATTTTACAGTGTATGTACTAGTGTATATATGTATATAATTGTATATATATATTTGTAGTGTGTGTATGCCCCTGTTCATGTGCCTTACTGTTGGATGTGTTCAGATGCCACCACTGGTCCGTTCCGCAGCCATTTATATCGGATGAAAGGAAGATTGTGGAAGATGTAGGAATGCAAGATTCCAAGACACAACCAGACTCAGATGTACATGACGAATTTGGTCAGACATGCAACCTCCAAATACCACGACAAGTTGCAGTAGCCCCTACCACTGAAGTATGACTACTATGAAGTATGAAAGGTGTTTTCAAAGCTCAAGCTGTCCAACCTTTCAGCTTTCTTTTGTGGGCTCATGGGCTTCCTGGGCCTCCATGATAGCCTTTTGGGCTTGACCTTTCCGGGTCATAGCTCCCAAGCAACAAAGTGGTGCTTGGATGCTCCAGCCAACAGCTTAGATGTCACAAGCTTCTTCGGCCGTCGGGAAAAGCCGCATGAGATTCATCACTCTCCAGGACCTTCCCGAGCACAATCTTCCCATGTACGTCATGGTCGTCATGGTGGACACCACAGTCCCCCTGGTCACCATAGTCACCATGGTCACCGTCACCATCATCACCATCACACAGGCCACGGCGGCCACGGCCACACACGTGGAGGCCACAGCCATTCAAGGATTCGACGGCCAAGTCACGGCCGGTTGCACAACCTTCACGAAGCACACCGACATGGACACAGCCCCTTGTCTCAACGTGGTCACGACGTGCGACGGCGGTGGCATAGCAGAGGGCATTCTCCAAGACGCACATGGCCTCAGCCATTGGCCGAAGCTGGATTCTTTGCAAGAGGTCAAGAACATCACAAGCATGGGCATGATGAATTCGGTCGGCACACTGGGGACACTTCCTCAACCAGCTTTGAAGATTCCAATGCAGCTGGGGGTGCGGCAAAGAAGAAGGCCGAGATTGAGCTGAAGATCAAGGAACTAGATCGGCAGATTGAGCAGCAGCGTTCAAGTGAGAGAGCCCTATCAGAACAGGAAGAGGATCAAGAGAAGGAGATGGGTGACGATGCTGTATTGACCCCTGCTCAGGAAGAGGCTGCCTTGAAAGCCCGTGAGATTTCGAAACAAGAAGCAAATGTTGTGGACAAAACGGAACAGCTGGTGAAGGAGAAGCTGGATTTGCTGAAAGAGCTGAAGAAGCTGGAGGATGAGGAAGCCAAGGGCAAAGAGCCCGTGCAGCCAGGAGAGACGATTACAAAAGAAATCGTAGGGCCAGCTGGGGAGAAAGAAGTTGAGGTTGTGAAAGAGGAAGAAGGAGGGAAAGAAGAAGTGATGGAGATAAAGCAGGAAACACCCGAAGAAGCCGAAGAAATTCAGGAAGCTGGCGGTGAAGTGATCTCCCCACCTCCAGCAGAAGAAATTGAATGCCCTCCCTGCCCACCCTTGCCGAAGTCAAGAGAGCGGCCATTGATGATTTCAGCTGAGGATGAGCCTCCGGGCAGAGCC